CGCGAACGCGTAGAAGAAGGGGCTGGGGTCTGGGACTGGCTAGTATGCGAACGTGAGAGAGGACTCGCGAACGCGGTGAAGGGGAAGCCTGGGCTATGCGGACGCGGGGTATTGTCCGCGAACGCGATGAAGAGGCACTGAAGCTTCGCGAACGCGTGACTGGAATGCGAACGCGAAGAAGGGATTTGCTGTGCAAAAATTGCAGAAAATCTGCTATGTTTTCTAAGTGTAAAACTACCCCGAATCACTCCCGAGCCCTCGGGGCTCCCAACTAAACACACACACTAACTCAATAACATCCTACGAACTTAGTCGAGCGATCAAATCGCCAAAACAACCTCAAAATCAATGAATCAAACCTCAAAATCATCATTTTCATTTCAAACTTCTTAAACTTCTAACTTTAGATATTTAGGTCCGAAACACGTCAAACGACGTCCGATTTCGACCAAACTTTACAGAAAGCGCTTAACACATATTTAAGACTTGTACCGGGCATCGGCCAAAATACGAGCCCGATACCATAGTCTTTTAATCAATTTTCATTTCCATTTTCCTTAATAATTTCAGAAAAATAATTTCACAGAAAAATTCATTTCTCGGGCTCTCGACCTCGGAATTCGACTCCGGGCATATGCCCGAGTCTCATATTTTCCTGCGGACCCTCCGGGATCGTCAAATCACGGGTCCGGGTCCGTTTACCAAAAATGTTGACCAAAGTCAACTTTAATCATTTTAAAGCCACATTTTGAAAATTTTCACAGAATTTAACATATAAGCTTTCCGGCTACGCGCCTGGACTGCGCACGCAAATCGAGGCAAGCAAAAATGAGGTTTTCAAGGCCTCGGAAGCACGGAAAAAGAGAGAAATCCGATGATGACCCTTTGGGTCGTCACATTCTCCACCTCTAAAACAACTGTTCGTCCTCAAATGGACAAAAGAAAGAAGTACCTGAGTCGGGAAATAGATGAGGATAACGGCTCCGCATATCAGACTCGGACTCCCAGGTCAATGCCTCAGGAGGCTGACCTCTCCACTGGACACGTACCGAAGGAAAACTCTTCGACCTCAACTGTTGAACCTGCCGGTCTAGAATAGCTACCGGCTCCTCCTCGTAAGACAGATCCTTGTCCAACTGGACAGTGCTGAAATCTAACACGTGAGCTGGATCGCCGTGATACCTCCGAAGCATGGACACACGAAACACTGGATGCACGGATGACAAGCTGGGTGGCAAGGCAAGTCTGTAAGCAACCTCTCCCACTCGATCGAGAATCTCGAATGGGCCAATGAACCTAGGGCTAAGCTTGCCCTTCTTCCCAAATCTCATCATGCCCTAGCGACACTCGGAGCAAGACCAGCTCACCAACCATGAAAGCTACATCTCGAACCTTACGATCCGCATAACTCTTTTGCCGCGACTGAGCCGAACGAAGCCTATCCTGAATGATCTTGACCTTGTCCAAGGCCTCCTGAACTAAATCTGTACCCAATAACCGAGCCTCCCCCGGCTCAAACCATCCGACTGGAGACCGACATCGCCTACCGTACAACGCCTCATATGGAGCCATCTGAATGCTGGACTGGTAGCTGTTGTTGTAGGCAAATTCCGCTAAAGGTAAGAACTGGTCCCACGAGCCTCCGAAATCAATGACACAGGCTCGGAGCATATCCTCCACTATCTGAATAGTCCTCTCGGACTGGCCGTCCGTCTGAGGATGGAACGCTGTGCTCAACTGAACCTGGGTGCCTAACTCCTGCTGAACTGCTCTCCAGAAGCGCGAGGTAAACTGCGTACCCCGATCCAAAATAATAGATAACGGCACCCGATGAAGGCGAACAATCTCTCGGATGTAGATCTCAGCTAACCTCTCCGATGAATAAGTGGCTGCAACAGGAATAAAATACGCTGACTTGGTCAGCCTATCAACAATGACCCAAATAGCATCAAACTTCTTCCGAGTCATCGGAAGTCCAGTAACGAAATCCATGGTAATCCTCTCCCACTTCCACTCGGGAAGCTCAATCCTCTGAAACAAACCACCAGGCCTCTGATGCTCATACTTAACCTGCTGACAGTTCAAACATCGAGCCACATATGCAACAATATCTTTCTTCATCCTACGCCACCAATAAAGCTGCCGCAAGTCCTGATACATCTTCGCGGCGCCCGGGTGAATAGAATACCGAGAACTATGGGCCTCCGCTAAGATCAACTCTCGAATCCCATCGACATTGGGCACACAAACTCGCCCCTGCAACCTCAAAACACCATCATCATCTAAGGTCACCTTCGTGGCACCTCCACGCTGCACCGTGTCTCTCAGGACACACAAATGGGGATCATCAAACTGCCGATCACGGATACGCTCCAATAATGAAGAACGAGCGACCGTACAAGCTAACACTCTGCTAGGCTCAGAAATGTCCAACCTCACAAATCGATTGGCCAGGGCCTGAATATCCAAAGCAAGCGGTCTCTGGCTGACCGGAACATAAGCAAGACTACCCATGCTGGCGGACTTCCTACTCAATGCATCGGCCACCACATTGGCTCTCCCCGGGTGGTACAGAATAGTAACATCATAGTCCTTCAATAGCTCCAACCACCTCCGCTGCCTCAAGTTCAACTCCTTCTGCTTGAACAAGTATTGCAGACTCTTGTGATCCGTGTACACCTCACACGTCACACCATATAGGTAATGCCTCCAAATCTTCAAAGCATGAACAATTGGTGCCAACTCGAGATCATGAACTGGGTAATTCTTCTCGTAGATCTTCAACTGCCTCGAAGCATAAGCAATGACTCTGCCATCCTGCATCAATACCGCACCAAGCCCAATACGGGAAGCATGTAAAAGGCCCTGAGCCCATGGGCAAAACCAATATCGGTGCCGTAGTCAGAGCTGTCTTGAGCTTCTGAAAGCTCGCCTCACACTCATCCGACCATCTGAACTGGGCACCCTTCTGGGTCAATCTGGTCATCGGGGCTGCTATGGATGAAAATCCCTCCACGAACCGGCGGTAATAACCTGCTAACCCCAAGAAACTCCGAATCTCTGTAGCTGATGCTGGTCGAGGCCAGTTCTTGACTGCCTCAATCTTCTTCGGGTCCACCTGAATACCCTCTGCTGATACAACATGACCCAGAAATGCAACCGAACTCAACCAGAACTCGCACTTCGAGAACTTAGCATACAACTGACTATCCTTCAGAGTCTGAAGAACCACTCTGAGGTGCTGCTCGTGCTCCTCCTGGCTGCGGGAGTACACCAGAATATCATCAATAAAGACTATCACGAACATGTCCAAATATGGCCTGAACATTCGGTTCATCAACTCCATGAATGCTGCTGGGGCATTGGTCAACCCAAACGACAAGAACAGGAACTCATAATGCCCGTACCGAGTGCAGAATGCTGTCTTAGGGACATCGGATGCTCTAATCCTCAGCTGATGGTAGCCAGATCTCAAGTCTATCTTTGAAAACACCTTTGCACCCTGAAGCTGGTCAAACAAATCATCAATCCTCGGTAGTGGATAATTCTTCTTTATCGTCACCTTCTTCAATTGCCGGTAATCAATGCACATCCTCACCGATCCATCCTTTTTCTTCACAAATAACACTGGCGCACCCCAAGGAGAAACACTAGGCCTGATAAAACCCTTCTCTAGCAAATCTTGCAACTGGTCTTCTAACTCCTTCAACTCTGGCGGGGCCATGCGATACGACGGAATAGAAATGGGCTGCGTGCATGGGGCCAGATCAATAAAGAAATCAATATCCCTGTCGGGCAGCATACCCGACAGGTCTGAAGGGAAAACCTCGGGGAACTCCCGAACAATAGGAACAGAATCAATAGAAGGAACCTCTGAGCTGGAGTCGCGAACATACGCCAGATAAGCTAGACACCCCTTCTCGACCATGCGTCGAGCCTTCACATATGAGATAACACTGCGGGTGGCATGACCTGGGGTCCCTCTCCACTCCAATCGGGGTAAATCTGGCAAAGCCAAGGTCACAATCTTGGCGTGACAATCCAAGATAGCATGATACGGGGACAACCAATCCATCCTTAATATAACGTCGAAATCCACCATGTCTAAGAGCAATAAATCAACACGGGTCTCAAGACCCTCAAACACTACCACACAAGCACGATGAACTCGGTCGACCACTATAGAATCACCCACCGGTGTAGATACATAAACAGGAATACCCAAGGCATCACTAGGCATAGTCAGATAGGGTGCAAAATAGGACGACACATATGAATACGTAGACCCAGGGTCAAATAGCACTGAAGCATCCCTATCACAGACCAGAATAGTACCTGTAATAACTGTATCTGAAGACTCGGCCTCTGGCCTGGCTGGAAGAGCAAAATACGAGCCCGATACCATAGTCTTTTAATCAATTTTCATTTCCATTTTCCTTAATAATTTCAGAAAAAACAATTTCACAGAAAAATTCATTTCTCGGGCTATCGACCTCGAAATTCGACTCTGGGCATATGCCCGAGTCTCATATTTTTCTACGGACCCTCCGGGACCGCCAAATCACGGGTCCGAGTCCGTTTACCAAAAATGTTGACCAAAGTCAACTTTAATCATTTTAAAGCCACATTTTGAAATTTTTCACAGAATTCAACATATAAGCTCGCACGCAAATCGAGGCAAGAAAAAATGAGGTTTTCAAGGCCTCGGAAGCACGGAAAAAGAGGAAAATCCGGTGATGACCCTTTGGATCGTCACATGTAACAATCAAAACAAACACTTTATTTAAAGTAACAATACGATACGATACAACAAGTAACAACCATCCAAACAAGCTGTGAAAGTACAAGATAAAAAACAAAGCAAAGGGCATGACATTATTGTTACAATTAATTGAATGACAAAACACTAATGTGATGATATTCTAGTCTTCTTTGAAGATGAAGAAACTAAATCAATGGCACATCCCAATGGCCAAGCTGCTCCAACAAGATAATTTTTGTATTTGACATCATGCATCACTGTAATGTCTTTGTATGGATTTAGTCCTGTCCAAAGATGCATTAAAAAATGTAAGGGAATAAAGTTCGAGAACTAAATTAATTTTTGTTTGATTTGATATTACATTTAACTTATATACACCGACAATATAAAAGAACCATAAAAAATAACTTACCTAATCCATCAACAAGCAAAGTGTACTCATATACCAAATCAATGCATAAGTATGGGATATTTCTGTCTTGAGTGTTTGGAAATACAGATTTTATATCTGCTGCTTTTGTCTTGCAAGCAACTTTAGCTGCATTTAGGTATTGAATTGGCTTTGCAATTGCAGATGGAAATCATATCACAAGCGGTATAAACATCATATTAATTACCATTACTATGTTCCAGTCTTAAACAAGTTAGAGTCAGCTATATGAATCCTCATTGTCCGAACTACTTAGTTAGATTGTTTAGTTGTCAATTTACTAGAGTTGTTGAACATGACAGATTTAGAGTGTCACCTAAGGTAGGGGTGTCAATGAATTTTTAAAAACTGATTAAACCGACCAAATCAAACCGTACCGAACCGATACTTAAGTTTATTTAATAAAATCGTGGTTTTTTTTATATAAACTTATAACCGTACCGAATAATAGGGTAGGTATTTAATTTTATAAAAATAAACTGAAAAAATACCGAACCGTACCGAATATTTCTAATATATGAAAAATATATTTTATATACTAAGTTTAAAACTAACAAAGCATTAAGTTTTTTTCTTTGGTTTTGGGATTATGAAAATGGCTACAAATGATCAAATAATTAATATCCAAAGTCCCAACTTTCAAAAATATTCTATTACTCATATTGAAACTAAAGTTCTAACATCTTGAGTAGCAAGCCACTAGGTATTCCAATGATCTTTAGTAACAAGATACAAGGTATTGGTCTATTGGATATCTTTCCTCCTATATTATTTAAATTTCTCTTGTGGGATACTAGTCTTTTAATAAGCTTTATTCTTGAGTCCAACTTGATTAGTATCTTTCTACTCGTATAATTTATATTTCTCTTAATTGTCTTTGCTTAATTTGTTTTACGCTACCATAGAATAGTGTGATGAATCTCTACGCTGGACATCTTTCATGTTCCTTATCATCACCTTTAAAATAGTAAAAATGTTTAAAGAGTTTTGCCAAACTCCTATGTAAGTACATATTTATTGCATTCTAACTTCGGCTAGCGACTCTTGTATGACTTTCTTAAAAAAATATCGAAAAATTAATCGAATCGTACCGATACCGAAGAGAAACCGAGTTGATTGGAATGATTTCAAAAAGTCTAATTTTGGTTATACAAAATAGAATAACCGAAAAATTGACATGGTACAAATTTTATAAAATAACCGGTCGAACCGAACCATTGACACCCCTAATCTACAGGTTCACGTGAATCTAACAGCTTTTATCCAGATTCTATATATGTATTAAGATATTTATTAAATATCTATAAATATTTGACCTGTGAACCTAATTATTATTGTATATTAACTTGATGTTCTTGTAGGAACCCATAAACTTCAAATTCTAAACATGATTTGTCGAATATAAATAGAATTTTTACCTGAGCACCTATATCATAGAAAAATGATGAAGCATGCACAGTCTTGGTTCCAGCACCACCTCCACCATTCCAAACTCCATTGAAGGTGCAGTTCTTGTAATTGCATGGTGCTCTAATTTTAAGTGCCTTCCTAGTTAATGCTCTACATTTTTTCAAGCTAGTACCACTTGGTGGAGCTTTTACTTTGTAGTCCACTCCTCCATATGAGTAGTACCCTTGAAAATAAAATGATAAACTCTTGTATTAGTGCATTTGACTAATTATTAAGTAGCCTATAAGATATATATTGCTGGTGTATGTAACTTAAATTCTTAGCATCATCGCACAATATTTCTTCTATTATTGAGAATGGCTGTAATTAGGGTCGGATCCACAGTATCGAGTCTGGGTTTCCGGGTAACTTTTACCCGAACCTTGTATTTGTATTGAGTAAGTATCTTTAGTTTGAAACCCATAAGGTTCAAATCCTAGATCCGCCTCTGGCTGTAATGATATTATTGTAAAAAATGAAAGGCGAAAATACATAAGAAATTAGACATATATATATATATATATACCATCATATCCTTCCAAAGCGCAAGGATTACTATAGTTTCTTGAAGCCTTGAATATCTCAGCACGACCAGCAAGTTGTCCGTAGTTCAAATAACTGCATACAAAATATACTCATCAGATTTTATGTTGTCAATATATACTCGTTGGAAACAGTCTCTCTACCTGCATTAGGTAGGGGTAAGGTCTGCGTACAGACTACCTCCCGAGACCCCACCTGTTAGAAACATACTAGGTTTGTTGTTGTTGTTGTTGTAATATACACTTGTTTTTAGGTGACATGATGGTGTAAAGTTCTTTACATTGTCAATATATACTATGAGTAGTTAGATCTTTCATATATACTAATGTTTATATCTCATTATATATATATAGAGAGAGAAAATAAAAGTTGATTTGAGATTTAGTTTTTGACATAAGAGGAATACAAACCTGTGTACGTAGAGGTTATAATCTGTTGACATAAGATGTTTTTCTTGAACGTAGGGTTCTCCATCAATATTTTGAGGAGCATTTGCAAACTGTTCCTTTGAAATGGCATATGCCATTTGGACTGATCCACCTCCAAGGTCAATTGTTGCAGTGGTACTTCTATAGTTTTTACCCAAATTTCCCAATAGATAATTAATTGCAACCTGTATATTAATAAGCACCAACAAATCAAAATCAACTAAATAAGACATTCAACTTGATATATAATAGGTGTCAATATATATTTACTTCATTCGTTTCAATTTATGTGTTTACTTTTCTTTTTAGACTTTTAGAAAGAATGCATCTTTCTGTATTTCACAAGACATATTTAACACTATAAGACTCAAGAATTTTTTGGTAAATTATGCACATCTTTTTAATATCCTAATATTCAAAAATCCTATGTATTTATTTTTTCTAAACTTCATACACGGTCAAATTAAGACACGTAAAATGAAATGAAGAAAGTATTATATTACTGAGAAATATTATCTTACTGAGTTACATGTTCGAATGCGACAGATCTTAGCTAACACGTGAGAAAAATCTATTTTTATTTGCAAATTGAGTAAACTAATACTCGCTATTAAGTAGAATACTCCTAGGCCTTTGGGTATCGGAAGGGACTCACTTAATAAAAAACTAAAAACTTAAAAAAAAGTTGCATAAATAATTAATCTAAATAATCGCTCATCCAATCGGCTTAAATTATAAATAATTGATGTATAATATATTTATAATCGTGTATAATTAGCGTATCATGTATATATATTGGCTAGAAAAAATAAATAGTAAATTTATTTGGCTATTTGTGTAAAGATTAAGAAAAGGGACATATTTTGCTGCAACTTACCCACATGTAAGAGCCCTCTTGAGTGCCATCAAGAATACTGATCCATTGATCTTTTGTGTGGAAGGTGCTTTCATTTTTGACTAAATCTCTCACCTTTTAAAATTGAAAAGACCAAAATGTCTTAATTAAGAAATTAGTTATTATAAAAAATAAAAATAAAATTTCTTCAAGTAATAATTAAGGTCTAATAGAAACATATACCGCTTGTAAAATCTTTTCTGCTGCATCCCCTTTTAACATCCTCAAACCTGCTGTTGCCTGTATGTTTATTCACACACACAAAAAAAAAAAAAAAACAATTAAAGAGCAGCCAAAAATATCATTTATCATAAACAATTAAAATAACAAAGGAATAATAATTACACAACTTGCATTATTCTATCTAAGAAAAAGAAAAGTGAAACGCCATTAGCGTTTCATATTTAAGTTGGACCATGTGCTTTTGATTTATGATGATAAATAAATTGTGCAATATATTTATAGGATTTAACTTATATATACATTATTTTTGTAAAGAGTTTTTACATACCAACGTAATTTAACTCGTTGTACGTATAGCCAAGGGCGTATCTAGGCTTTAGGGTATGCGTTCACGTGAACACATACTCCTACCCCTAAATTATAGTATATAATAATGTTATAGTTTTTCAAAATTATTTAAATGTGTATGTGTGCACCCGTACTCAAAGACTCCTATGCTGCAATAATTATTGGATGCATCTCTACGAGTAAATTAGCGGTTTAAATCCTACTTCGAACGGTCTTTTTTTCGACATGGAGCATAGATACATACATATAAAATCACTAAAAGTTTTGTGAGATCATGATATTTGATGGCTATAAAAGCTTTTCGTTAAGGATAAAAGGAAAAGTTTAAACTTAAATTATTAGTAAATATAAAATATAATATTTTTTTTAGAACGGATTAAAAAGAAAGTAATACTAACCCCTAGTTCGAGGGGAGTTTCGGATTGCAGCTCTTTAGGAACAGCACCTTCAGCTCCCTCTAGAAGTGGTTCTAAGGAGTTGGCTGCAGCCTTAGGATCATCTGCATATGAACTTAGACCTGGATTTGTCTGCAAAAGTAAAATCAAACTCATATCATAAGATTTAATGGTAAAAATAAGGAATTAAAAAAAAAAAGTAAGTAAGAATAGAATATGCAAACTCTTGATGAAATTGTTCAACTTTTTCCAAACTTATCTTTTATATACTCCATGCGTTCCAATGATGTGAACCTGTTTGACCGGACACGGACTTTAAGATAAAATAAAGACTTTTGGAATTTGTGGTCCTAAACAAGTTAAAAGGAGCCCCGAGTATTTGTGCGGTTATAAAAGCTTCTCATTAAGGGTAGAATTGTAAATTTAAACTAAATTGTATCCAAATTTAAAAAGGGACCATTCTTTTTGGAACAGATCAAAAATGAAATAGATTCACATAAATTAGAACGGAGTAAGTACTAAACTTTTTACCCAGAAAAAGAAAAAAGAAACTCGAGTTTAACTCAATAAAGTTACCTAAGTCAAGAGACGAACACCGTTCAAGATCAACTTAAATAAAGTGATTACATGTATTCATACATTTAACTAAAAAAATATGGGAGAGGGGGTTAGTAGACAAAAGTCTCGGAATTTGTGAGTAGAAATTAAACTTCATATATCTATTTCTATTCCTATACTATAAGTGATAATAACCAGGCAGCTCATTGTTAATATGTTTGCTTGGCACCAATAAGGATTGTGGTGGAGTGGTAAGTACTCCTTTATCCTTAATTAGAGGTCTCGGGTTCGAGCCCCTGAGTATGGAGTCGCCTTTGTTAGAGAACGTTTTACCCCCAATGTGAGACTTCCCGAATGCGAATTCGGATTTAGTCTGACCCCAATGTGGGTACCGAACGCTTGATGGGAAATAAAAAAAAATATGTCTGCCTAGCATAAGGACAATTCTGAATTTTTATAATTTTATGCATTCAAGATATTGTACTTACTAGCATTATTACTTGTACAATAAATTTGTTGGAGTCGTGGGGTCCACATCAACTTTCCATGCCACACGTTTTACTTGTGGCATTGTAAAACTTTTCTATTTACAATTCAAGTGGGACCCTTCTGTTTCACTGACACACTAAAGACCCTCTTTCATTGAGGCACTAAGGTATCTCCAACAATCACTCTATTTTTTATATCATTTTTCACTATAAAATAGTGCAATATCAAATTTTTTCCAACAATCACATTATTTTTTACATCAAATTTTCTCTCTTTTCTATATTATATTATTATCTTTTATTTACTTTTCATTTTTTATTTCCTTCAAACTAATACTATCTTTTTTCTTTTTTCCATATTCATTATATATAATTCACATTCACCACTTATATAATCATTTATTACAAAATTTTACATAAAGGATAAATTAACAAAAAGTAAAATCATTAATAAAACATAATTAAATAAATATTACATCATAGTCAAATTTAATTTATACAATTATAACCATAATAAAATTAACTTATAATTTTATATAAATATAATATATACAAAAATTAATATATCAAAAAATAGGATATAAAATTAAAATTATAAAATCTTAATATAAAAGTTAATTATATACACAATATATAATTAATTAAAAGTTCAACAATAAAAAAATGAATAAAATATTATTAAACCAAATATAGAATAATGAATAGCGTTGCACTAAATTTGTGCAACACTATTCATGCTCTATAATAGAGCAACAAATGGAGTACCATTGGAGCAATTTTACTCTATTTCTTGCACCAAATTTGGATTTGGTGCAAAAAATAGAGTACCATTGGAGATGGCCTAAGTAGTACAGCCCTATGTTTATTTTATGGATTGGCTATTGCATATTTGTATTTTTCTATTTTTTACATTCAATAATTCTTACAAAGATTTTATTCTTTTGCAAAAATATTCAAAAAAATCATACGAAATAAAACAACACTAAATTTAATGCTCGATTGTTTTATGCGTGTACATCTTACTTTTTAGATTAAAGGGCTAGACTTCTGCTGCTGGATTTATCTTCTCTCTTATGAATATTTATTTATTGGAGTAACAAAAAAAATTAAGGTGGCAAGTTCAAAATTCAAAGTTTAAGAAAATATGATAGGAGTAAAATATTTTGATTTTTTTTTCCATGGGCTAATACGTGGTAGTACTTTTTATGCTGTTAACCTAAAAAATTTCACACAAATTAAGAATATACTTTAATTTGATATGTATTAACTTAAATTCAATAGTTAATATATTTACAAATAATTAGTTGGACACATTTGCTCTCAAAAGTTCTCTTGTTAAACATAAACTTTTCCCAGGATTATTTTTCCTATAAAGTAGCAGTAGTATGAAATTTCATAATCAATAATTAAAGCTAAAATCATAGATAAATGTTGCTTTGGAAAATTAAAACGGCATTAGTCATGTTTTCCCAAATCTATTGTCGATCTAATAAATGACCTACGGAGTATGATGAGTAATTTGACTATAATTTAATGCATAACTTAATCAAATAAATCTTATAATACATGTTTTATATGACTTTCTTACAAAAAATTCAAAACGACATTTATTTTAGACATGAGGTAATATTAAATGTGAACCTAATTATTGTTGTCAGATAACTTGACATTGCAACAAAAAAAGATTGTCAGTGCTTGTAAGTTAAATGAAAATTTTATAACTCCTGCTAATTCGCACAACAAGATCATGAAACAAATTCCTTTCAAACTTTAATTTTCAAGTAATAGGTGGGAACAATAGAATTATGATTTTTAATGATTTTAGGTGATTTAAAAATAACTTTAGTATCCTTTGGGAGATGAACTCGATCTAACTTTATCATACACATTTTTATGGCTTCAATTTTTAGGTAACAGTGTTATTGGGCTCATGCACAACATGGGCTACCGGGAGAAATTTAAAAATAGCCAGATTTACAAATGGTCATTCAATAATAGTCACAGTTTCAAAAGTTATCAAAATTTAGCCACTTTTCATGTAAAAAAATCTGAACAAAAATATTGTTCAAAATCCGAAAAATACTCCAGTGTAATATATTGAATTCTAATATAATATACCGGAACTCTATTATAATATACTGGAGTTCCAATATACTTTGCTAGAATATAATATATTATACTGGAGTTCCAGCAAAGTATACTGGAACTCCAGTATAATATACTGGATTCCAGCAAAGTATAGTGCAGCAAAGTATACTGGAACTCTAGTATATTATACTGGAACCAGCAAAGTATATCGGTCTACATAATATGCTGGAAGTTCATACACAAGTGCACCGAACTCCAGTATATTATGCTGGACCGGTCTCTGTTATAGCAAAATAGTGACTATTTTTTAATGATTTGGCAAACACTGACTATTTTTAAATGGACAGTCGGAGAACTGGCTAGCCCGTGCTATTTTAACTGGGTTATCCCTTACTAGTTAAGGTGAGAAATGTTAAAATTAAAGCCCACTTTATCTATTAAAGTAAACAAAGTTCTTGCAATTTATCTATTAATATAGTGAGCATGCTCTCTCGACTTGGGATCTACCCTAGGTGCAACACTTATCAAATAAGTTAGATGTAATCTGCCATTTTATGCCTTTTACTTCCTCCGATCCATATTAATTGTCGTATTTCTCTTTTGAATGTCCTCTAAGAAACTATTAATAAAAGGATTTTTTTTTTATTACAATATCCTTATTTATTTCTTAAATCATTCAACATATTAACCTCTCTTCCTTAAATTTCTACTCTTCCATTTATATTTTTTATGCTAGATTTTTACTTTCAAGATATTTAATACTGAGGGCAAAATGGAAAAACAATAATAAATTATACCTTAATTTTCTAAAACAACAACTAGTTTGGACCAGATATAGGGCAGAGGCCTTTGGTGTCCCCTCCAGTCAAGAATTGGGGCCTCACAATCACTAGCCAATATGCTTTTCTCTCATGTCTTTCTTCGTTCATGGTTCGATATTCTGTTTACTAAGCAGGACAACTAATATGGACCGGAGGAAGTACTACCTTTTTCTTTAAGAGTTAAGATATACGTATACATTGTTGAAGAATTTATCCAAATAACTGGTGGATGTATAATATATGTATAATTTATGTACTATATATATATATAACAGATGTATAATATATATATAGTTAGAAAAAGTAAAGAATAAAGATGTGCTTTTTGTGTAAAAATCCCTACATTATTAGGGAATTTTAACTGGTTTTAAACTAACAAAAGCGACTTTTACTCCATAAGATTAAGTCAAAAAGAAGAAGAAAAAAATTACCGCTAGGTAAAACTCAATATTCTTTCCGATAGGAAGAAGTTCCAAATTTTCATTGAAACGAAAGACATGAACTCTGCTACCAGTACTTCCAGCATCAAATATAACTGCATAACTCTCTGATTCATGGCTCAAAAGATGTCTCCTCAAGGGTTTATTGGCATTTGCACTGGAGAAAAAACTAAGGGGCAAGACCAAAAATATTGCCAAAAATGTGAAAACATTTTTGTTCAGCATTTTGCCCTTTGCCCCTTTGATGTTCTTCTGCAAAAAGCAAATACACAAGTTATAAGACAGAGAATTCAACAGTGGATTCAGAATGTAGATATTGTCACTATGTGCGTCCGCCACTGGCCTTATCCATGAATTGTTAACAAAAATGGAGAGTGGTTAACAAAAATCCTTGGTAGGGAGTGCTACTAAGAATGGGTCCTACCCGACGCGAATCTAGATATAGTCGGGCTCCAATGCGAATATCGAACAAAAAAACAAAAAAAATAGAGAGTTCAAAGTTCAAACTCCCTTAATAGGGTAACATCATTTTCTCTCCTATGTAATAGAAAATTAAAAAAACAAAATACGAGAGAGAGGGAGATACCTTTCTATGATTGTGAGAAAAGATGATGAAGCAAATGGTAAACCTCGTGCTCTTATATAACACAAAAAACAATCACTCGTGAAACACGTGATACTACTATTATATTTTATTACCGCAAAAAAAAAAAAAAATAAGTAACGTAAGTTTTAACGTTTTTTTTTAAGTTTTTTTAAAGTTTTTTAACTTTTAATTTTACGTTTTAT